AACATGGAAATATGCTTTTGGCCCCCAAGATGGAATCTAAAAACCGTATCACTATTGCAAACAACATTGCATATTGTACAAGTCCTGACAGCATTCACAGGTGCACCACCTTCCACTACCTTCCTTCTCTTCATTTCTAGCTCTTGTGGAGTCTCCACCTTCTTCTTTTTTGGGCCCAAATTGGGATTGGGATTTTTAGGGTTTTCCAAGGGTCCTATGATTGGACTGGGGTTGCTTGTGGAAGCAGTGCCAAAAGTTAAAGAAGCAGCTGGGTTTAATTTTTCTATGTTTTTTATGTGTTTTTTACCCAACTTATGTTTATAAAGAATGTCCTTGGTGTTGCACTCGATTTTACAGATTTCACACCACGCTGACTGGGCGATTTTCGTTTTCTTTGGGATTTTTTTCCATGGCCCACGAGGTTGTTGGGCGCTTGGATTGGTCCATCTACTGGGGATTGAAGTTAGTAGTTGTTGTGAACTATCTTGACCTATCAATCCAGCCTGCATATGCAAACGTTGCCAGAAATACGTTTTTAGATACAAATTACAAATAAATAATATATCAAGATCAACATTAATAATATATATTTTTTTTTATCCTTTTTCAACTAAAATTTGTGATTTTAGAAGAACCTCGATATCACTTAAAACTTGTATGCCTATTCTTAAACAGAAACCATTCATAAATTACAAACATGGTCTCCAAGCATAAAACAACAAGGAAGCTAGAATGTTATAAAATACTTATAGAAAAACATGAAAAGAAGTTGGCAGTTCTTACCTGTTACAAAAGGGAGTCTTTCCTATTTGCTTTAAAAAGTGGGTTCAAAAAATTGATATGAAATAAAGCAACTACCATCCTACTGTCCTATCCATATCTTAATGAAATTTGAAAGATGAAACTGCTTAGAGAACCCCACCGCATAACAATTACATATACGAATATAAAGAGAGGAAAGGAGTAAAATTAAATACCCATAAACATTGCACAATCTATATGATTAAACCTTATCTAAAAACTGTGGTATAACTGTATTTTTTTTTTTTTTTTTACATTTGAGCATGTACAACGATAAGTTGTGGCCAATTGCAAATACATTGGTTAAATACTCATTCGCAGTTTCGGAATATTAACATTGACCTTATCACTAAGACACTACCTAAGAAATTAGCTGAAATTTGGTCTCAGTAATTATATATTAACAAACATTTAGGATGACAGATTCACTAAGAAATATATGCAACAATGAGAGTATGTTTAGTTTTCCTAGCAATCCCACTTAACTTCAAAATTCAAATGCTAAAGGTTTATGACAGATGCAACTTGGAGCATGATTAAACACCGCCATTAAATAACAACCACACTCTTACCACATGAGTTAGATCTCCTATATGCTCCCCGATCAAGAAATATGAGCTACAGCCTACACTTCAAATTTGCTATGAAAGATAAGTTGATATGAAATTTGTTACTAATTTATAACCAACATATTTCAATCTGAAATTGTTGCTGTTCTGTCGATTCTTGGCACAAATCAGAATCTAGAATACAATCAGATTTAGAAAAGCGACATATTCCACTATCAAATAACAATTATCAACTTGGGTCAAACATAAAAGATCGATTTCTGAAAAACGAACTGGGCTCTAACTTACTGCCCATTATTGGCACAAAATCAAAATCTACAATCCTCTCAAATTTAGAAAAGTGGCACATTTCAATTCCCAAGAACACATGTCAATTTGGGTCTAACAAAAAACTGACCCTTGAAAAACTAAATGGACTCTTTAACTTACAGTTGCATATAGAGCACTTCCATATGGCTGAACAGACTCCTCTGTCGCCCAATTTTGCACCAACAACTCGGATGCATAAGTAGGTGGTGGCGCCGCAGTAATTGTCTGAGCGTAGGTCAGAGCACTGGCGTGGAGAGCATTGTAGGCGCCACCGGCGTGGCTAATGGAATATGAAGGCAAATAGGATTCCGAACCAGGAGGATCAGGATTTATAGCGGCACTACTATATTGCGATTCAATTTGTAAGTGGCGTTGCTGATGAAGGGGATAAGGGTTAGGGTTTTGAGAGGGGAAATACGAGTAGTACTGAGAGGTATCGTGATGGCGATGGTGAGTATAAAGATCAGACAAGGTGGTGTTTGCTGGTTGCATTTTTTTTCTCACCGATCGATCGCGGTGGTGGTTGTGGTGTGTCCCAGGAGGAAGAGGAGATCTGTCAACGGAAAGGCAAAGACGATGAAAATTTTCAGAAATTTGGTAATAGTTTCGATAGAAAGTAAGTTACAAAAATAGTCCCTTTACTATCACAGTATAGTTCCATTTATCCAACTTCTAATTTTACGATTGAACTTAAAACCCCATGAGCAATATTTATTTTAAAATTGGATTTTCTAATATTTACATAAGAACTATTAATTATAGAAAATATTATAATAATTAAATGTAAAATGCATGAAGAATATTTTCTATAATTAACAAATTTCATATTTAATTATGGTAATAATTCCTATAATTAATAGTTTAATTAATAGTTTAATTAATACTTCTTAAAGACACATGTTAGAAAATCTCATAATTTAATTTTATATTGAGTTTCAGTTGTTTCTTTAAATATCATTATTTTGAACATAAAAACATATTGAATTTTACAACGAATGGAAACACACCAAAAATTTGGATTGCAATGGTACAATACATATAAAAAAATTGTATGTCTTATTTAAAAACAATTAAAAGTAAAAATTGTTACACTTAATACTTATTTGAGGGGGCAATTCAGTCAATTAGGCCGGTTTATACCGCATGGTGAATATATTACTCCATGTAAAGTAATACGTAAAAGTTTGTGAAAGTTGGAGTCATCATATCTGTGAAAGAGAAAGGGGAGCAACCAAGGAGATTTGTGTCCCCGTCGGAGTCACCATCACGGGAGCTAAACACCAGACAAGGAAAGAGATTAAGAGAGAAATTCCTGTTGAAATCGCAATTCCGCATGAGAATTTTGTGTTGAAATTGCAATCGTTTTGGCGCGTATAATTGAATAAGAAGATCAGAAAAATGATGTCAGGAAATTACACAAGCATTGATAATCATAATACTTCCGGATCTGTTCCGGTACGTGTCTTCCTTTTCTTTTTGTTCTTCTTCATCTGCATTTAATTGTGTTTAATAAATACCTAATTAGTCATCAGAACATTAACTTAGATTTATATTTCAGTCTGTTCCAGATCCGCCGGGACAAGTCTCCATCAAATTCAACGGTAACCCCTATCTAATCAGAATTTCGTAAATCTTGTTAGACTCGTTGCTAAGCCCATTAAGTTTTTCATTGCAGAGTCGACACTCCAAACGTTTCCACCTTCTTCTACACCACAAGGAGGGAAGATCTCCGCCAGTTCTCGTTCTAGTTCTGGCATACCTCGTGATTCTGATGGTATTTTATGTTCCAAATTCAAATCTTAATCCATCTATCTCGTTTCCAATTGGCTCACTACATTGATTTTGATTTATAATTTATTTCAATGCCGTAATTAAGCATACACACTTCAGCATCATACTCTAATCACCATTAATCTTTCAAATCAGAAGATGAAACGATAAGTTTGAAACAGTGCATACTCTGCTTTTGATTTCAGAAGCTCGATTAGTGTTGTTTTTAAATGTAATTTACTTGGTTTAAATATAACTTCTCGATATGTTGGTATACTTTCATGAAATAATGACAATTGAAGATATGTGATTTGTGTAGTCGTACTTTATTTACTTATTTTGTGAGAGTTGATCTGTATGTGCAGTTCCCTTCTCAAAGCCAATTTCTGGTTCATCAGATCAACAAAAACAACAACAACAGCAAGCAGCTGCTCCCCCAGGTTGGCTTAAGATATTTACAGTCGCTGCCTACCAGCCCTACTTTGATGTTGACACATCTGATATTCTAGAGAGGATTAAAGATTCATTTTTTCCCTTCAAAGGAACCTTCAGTCAGAAAACTGCTACTACCCCAGACCTGTAAGTTATTTCTGAAAGTATATTATTATACATAATGTTTTGTGTAAATAAATGAACACTGGTTTTGTTGTAGGTATGGACCCTTTTGGATATGCACAACATTGATCTTTGCATCAGCTTCAATTGGTACATGTGTGACTTATCTTGCTCGAAAGCTACATCATTTGGAATGGGACTATGATATTCATCTGTTGACATGGTCAGCTAGCGTTTTGTATGGCTATGCTGTTGTTGTACCCATCGCTTTGTATATAATTCTCAAGTACTTCTCTGCACCATTGGGCCTTGCTCAACTACTATGCCTCTATGGCTACTCCCTCTTCATCTTCATCCCCGCAGTGGTAAGCAAATTTTTTCAAAGTTTTCAGATTTCAGTTTTGTTTGTTGCTACTTCAAAATCATTAATTTGATTTGCAGTTTCTGTCTATTATTCCGGTGGAAGCAATCCGGTGGGTGGTTACGGGTGTTGCCGGATTCATGTCAGCAATGTTTGTGGCATCAAATCTAAAAACGCACATAGTTTCGGCTGGTGAAAAATGGTTTTGGATTGTTGCTGGGATTTTTCTGTTGCAGCTGGCTCTTTCCATTGTACTTAAGCTCTATTTGTTCAGCGTAAGTACATAGTTTTCTTTATAGGTCAATACTCAATAAGCTTGTTATTTTCTATTGATTTTGGTTGATAAGAGTTGTTTGTTTTGTTTGTCATTCATTGTTTAAGAAAAATTAATAACATACTACTTCAACAAAAAGGGTCATTATATTAAAAAATCCATCAGATACAATGTAGAAGGAAGAAACTGAACATAAAAAAGCTTAGTAAACATATATAATATGGCAACCAATTACCAACCCAAATGGAAGATTTTTTTTTTTTTCACTACAGGGTGCAAATATAAGAATAAAAGAACTGACCAGCCAAAAATAGTGAACTGAACTGAACTGACTAGTGCTCTCAAGTTCCAAATTGTTTGTTTAGACCAAAGCAGGCATGTCCTTGAGCCAAGCATCAAGTGGCTTACCGATCGAGTAGACAATGAAACCGATTTCTCTCAGTTTCTCACTGTCCACAACGTTTCTCCCATCAAACACAAAAGCAGGTTTCTGCATGTTGTTGTATATCTTCTGGAAATCAAGGTTTTTGAACTCGTCCCATTCAGTCAAAATACAAACACCATGAGCATCCTTGGTGGCTTCATAAGCATCCCAAACAACACCTACTTGTTTCACAGTAGTGGGACTCATTGGCTGAAGGTGAAGAGGGTGGTCCCAGTCAAACTTCTTCATGGAAAGGTCTCTCTGGATCTGATCCTCCGTCACTTGTGGATCATAGATACTCAACAAAGCCTTGTCACCTAACAAACCCTTGCAAACATCAATGGCTGGTGTTTCACGGGTGTCACCTGTGTCCTTCTTGAATGCGAACCCAAGTATCGCAATCTTCTTGTTGGAAACAGTGTTGAACATAGACGCCACAACCCGGTTCACAAAACGGGTCTTCTGGTAGTCATTAATCTTTATGACTTGTTTCCAGTATTCCGCTACTTCAGGGAGACCATTACACTCACAGATGTACACCAAGTTCAAAATGTCCTTCTGGAAGCAAGACCCACCAAACCCAACACTCGCGTTCAAAAACTTCGGACCGATTCTAGTGTCCTTCCCAACCGCATACGCCACCTGGCTAACATTCGCACCGGTCGCCTCGCAGAGCGCTGACATGGCGTTAACGGATGAGATACGTTGCGCCAGGAAGGCGTTGGCAGCAAGTTTCGACAGCTCAGCGGACCATAAGTTTGTTGTGATGATGTTTTCATCCGGGACCCATTTTGCGTACACGGCCTTCAAAGCTTGGATTGCTTTCTCTCCCCCTGGGGTTTCCCTGCCTCCGATTAAAACCCTGTCGGGATTAAAAAGATCTTGAATTGCGGTTCCCTCAGCGAGAAACTCCGGGTTTGAAAGGATCTGGAAGTTGATCCCTTTGCTGTTATGTGTCAGAATCTTTTCAATGGCTTCAGCGGTTTTCACTGGAACAGTTGATTTCTCAACAACGATTTTGTCTGATTTTGACACGTCAGCAATCATACGGGCAGCACTTTCCCAGTATGTGAGATCAGCAGCTTTACCAGCACCAAGACCACGGGTCTTTGTTGGGGTGTTGACCGAGACAAATACAATGTCAGCCTCACAAACGTGTTTTTCCACATCAGTGCTGAAGAAGAGGTTCTTGCCTCTGCGTTGCTTCACCACATCATCAAGACCTGGCTCGTAGATTGGGAGCTGGTCACTGTTCCAGGCTGTTATGCGAGGTACAGAGATATCAACTACTGCTACTTCAATATCAGGGCACTTGAGTGCTATCACAGCCATGGTGGGACCCCCAACATAACCAGCTCCAATGCAGCAGATCTTCACCATCTTCTTGTGTTACTACTGTAGAACGTAGATCAGGATTCCGTATAAGCATATATCAAGTCGCATATAAAGTTGATCAAAAGTTACTTTTTACTTAAACAGTTAAATTACATTATCCATTGTCACAGAAGAAATAATATTGTGGAACTTATCAATGGATGCTCAAACAAGTAACAATCCAATAGACAGAAAGCATTGCTACTCTTTTCAAAACAAGAGATCGAAACAATGCCAAAAAGATCCATCCAGATTTGCATGTATGAGGATCATTCGAGATTTTGCCCTTCTCATGCCCTACTCTATATAACTAAGTATCTTAGACGCTGATCAAACATGAAATCTTCTAATGGACGTAATTAACATAAAATTAAAGATGCGTATTGAAAATCTATAAGCAGAGATTTTAGATTAGATGTAATAGAATGGAGTACTTATTACTTAACAGAATAACAGTCCAGTGAGAGCTTGCTATAGTTTTATAAAAAGTGGACACCTTTGCTTGATTTTAGGTAAAAGTTTAGATCTGCTTCAGATATAAGCAACTAAACAAATCGCGAACACATTCTAGTTTGAACTCGAGCGGCTCAAGCATTTTGATTGAATTACAATGAAAAATCCTTGATCACATCAATTAAACTATACCAGCCGCACAGATCTAAAGCGAACGCTTTCGATTTATAACCGACAACCTAAATTTCAGCTCATTAAGATATAACAACTTAAATATCTTCAATGAACCAAATGTAAATGGATCTGATCATATAAATAAAAAATGGATCTAACAAGTAAACAAATAGATCGGGTCATTTAGGTCAAAAACAGAGCAATTGGTGCTAATAACACTAAGAATTACAAGGTAAACGCAATATCAAATGAAGTTAATACACAAAATCATGGATCGGAAATGTTACCTTGTAGATCCGCGATCACAGGGTGTGCTTCTGTGAAACAACGAGAGAGATCTGTTATGTGTAATACGAAACATAGAAAGCGGGGACATGTTTATATAATCGTTGAAAATATAATATCTTTCCCTTACGTTTCAATGAATGGCACTTTATTACCCTCTGATAACCCTTTTGTTTCTAACTCGTTTGCCATGATGTGGACAGCTCAACGCGTCCACCTACACGCATTTGGCAGATGGACAGGGAGGTGTAAAATTCTTTCACTTTTCTCCTTCAAAACTGTTTCTCAACATTTTTTACCCATCAAGTTTTGTTATAATTATTAATGGCATAAATAAAGAAGTTAGCTAGAAGTTGGAATTTATAATTATTATTTCACTAGAAGTGTTTTAAAAATATAGATATAAACTTTTGAAAATTTTACATAAAAATTGGAATTCATAATTATTATTTGACAAGAAGTGTTTGAAAAAGATAGATATAAACTTTTAAAAAATTTACATATGAAAATTAAAACTAAAAGCTAAAAGTTTTAAAAAATGATGAACTCTATTATCTGAACGCCCCGTTATCCCGGCTTATGATCCGTCAATTTTTAAATTTTTTGTAAGCTAAATTCTACTTGAAGTAGATTTTTATTGAGTTTTAAGTTGTAAAATAAAAGTTTTAATATCTACTTCCAACAACATCGCTTTTAGTTCAAGTTTTGTTTAAAAGCTTTAATAATCTTGTTGTGAAATACACACTTTATGTCTTTTAGACTCCATGAAAACTTGATTGAAAGTGATTAAACAAGTCATTTTATCATTTGTCTTTTATTATATAATTTTCAGTATTACGTAACCCATAAAAATAATATTTGAATGGTTCCCGTACTTTTGTGTTCCTCTCAGATGAATTCTTAGGAAAAAAAATCTCTGTTGTAGGCAGCCGAAGGTACTTCCTAAAGGCTTTTTTTATAATTTGAATAAAATATCCTCACTTATGTGTAACGACCCAAAATTTAAGATCAAGAATTTCTTTTGATAAATCATTACTTAAAGTAAAATCATCATTCCAAAACATAATATGAGTATAAGTTTTCAAAACACATGTTCATTATCAGAGTAAACATTCTCAGGCTTTGTAATCTATGGTGTGTGCCATGCGATCACCCCGAGCTCTTCCCTCCGCTACCGGAAGTACCTGAAAACCGTAAGCACGAAGCTTAGTGAGTTCCCCACCCTACCACATACCATGCATAACCACATATCGCACATACTGGGCCACGCCCGCTATCTTGGGCCTCGCCCGCTACAACGGCCCCGCCGCTCCAAGCCCCGCCTGGCTTCGAGCCCCGCTCGGATACAGATCTGTTTTACTTAGGCCTCGCCTGTCACAGGGCCTCGCCCACCAACAAATAATAACACATAAACATTTCACAACTCATAACTAAACACATGCAACTGGTTCTGTCCTAAGGCCTCGCCCATGTCCTGCTACTGATGAGTCATGGAACCCTGTTCCCGCTCCTAATGGTAGTGAAGTACGGGCCTAGCCCACTCTCACTCTTGTTCTAGTTTGGGCCTCGCCCCTGTTCTGCTACTAATGAGATATGGAACCCTATCCACACTCTGCTATTGGTGAGATACAGGACCTCGCCCACACTCACCTCCCTACCAGGCACATACATGTATCACACAGACAACAAGTATAATTTAGCATATAAACGAATCCTTGAGCACCCGCCCGCTACTACTGGACCTCGTCCTGAAAATCATACTAGCATACTGTGCCTAGGGCTAACCCCCAAGTCTTCTACTCATAACTACATGGGTTGGCATTGTGGCCTTAGACCCATTCACACAAAGGGAAACTCACCTGCACTGGCTGAACTTGCTGAGATCTCACTAGCTGCTGCCCGACAACTCACTGGACTCCTGCTCCCCTTGCTCCCCGAACTACCAATATCAATGCAACACTGAGTCTAACTGACCATCGAAATACAACCAAGTCAACCCTGGTCAAGGTCAAAGTCCTGGTCAAAGTCAACCTTCCAGGTCAACCCTACTCGCCGAGTCACTCTACTGACTCACCGAGTTCAAAATGATCAAATTACTTCCATTCGCGACTCGACTCGCCGAGTCAGTCCATGACTCGCCGAGTCTACCGATTTCTGAGTCCTGACCCTGTCCAACTCACTGAGTCTCCACCCGACTCACTGATTCGAGTCTCAACTCGAAGGGTTTGGGGTTCGCGACCTGACTCGCCGAGTCCAAGAACATACTCGCCGAGTACAAGGCAATCTTCATACGACTCAACGAGTTGTTCATCCCACTCGTCGAGTTTCTCCACAACTCCATGCTACTTGCCGAGTCCCTTCAGTTCTCCTTACATGCAGAGGACTTTTGAGTCATGCATGGACTCCAATCTGTAGATCTACCCTTCCCAAACCTATTCCTCACGTAAAGTTGCAAACTTTACGTGTAGAGAAGGAGATCTAGGCAAAATATGCCATAAACTAGGGTTTAAGGCCAAGGGGCTTCAAAATCGACTCGATGGCTGATACTTTATGCTTCTCCAGACCATAACACACTTGGATTTGAAGTAGCAACTCCAGATCCGGCTTCTAACCCATAAGGGTGGCTAATCATGGCTTAAAAGCCCCAAAACTCACAACCAAAATTAGATCTAAGGGAAGGAAATGACTTAATACCTTCAATACTTCAGAAAGGTTCCACAAACTCCAGATCTGAAGCAAATCCTTGAAGCTTTACTGATTCCCCTCCTTCTTCTTCCTTCAAATTACCCAAAAATGGCTTTGAAGCTTGAATGCACAACAATGGAGGCTTAGGCTTCGTTTTCTAAATAAGGGAGGCTCTAAGGAACCCTAATGGAGAGAATAAGGAGCTTAAATAGCGCCAAAAGTCCCGAATCTAAGGTTTTCCTCGCACAGACCGGACTCGCCGAGTCCACTTGGCCGACTCGCCGAGTTGGCCACTTACACCTCGATCCGGATCCCGCTCGGACTCGCCGAGTCCCTCCTTGGACTCGCCGAGTCTACCCTTAAAATCAGGGCTCTCTTTCCTCTCATGGCCTTTAAGACTTTGGGTGTTACATTATGTTTATAAGCTTTTATGCTTATGATAATATATGATGATCCGAGAGTAAACGATAGATTCAAATAAATTTTATTTTTAACAGTTTCACAAATAAATGGGTTAATTCTTTCCGCGAATGCTTGGCTTTTTTTGCTTCAAGTTTAGTGGCACCGACATCTCATAATTGTGTGTACTTTTTTTCCTACATTGTTTAATACTAGTATAAAAAAACGAATAAAGTTTTATAATCTTTTTTAACTTGATTAGAAAATGGGATTAGGATTCTCAAAGTGTATGCATCGCATTCAGATTAACTTTGCTTGTTTGCAACGTCTAAGGTTGGTTTGACAATTATACTTACTGCTCATCATTTAAAAAAGATTTATACAGATATATTACATATTTATAAAAATTAAAAAAGAATCATGGTATCCCATTAGCTATAACAGTAGTGAATACATGGATTTATTAGTCCGTAATTTTCTTGTCTAATTATTAATAGGTGAAGATCAATATAGGATAATGCTACCACTAAAACTTTTATTAATAAATTTACTTTTAACATTACGTAAAATCAAATATAATCTAAAAACGCATGCTTTTTAAGAATACTTCAAGTCTTAATTTGATAGTTTACAAATACAGCTTTGTATACATACAATCTAGACACAATTTCAAGGGTGCAATGTGTAATTTAATTAAAATACAAAGGAGTCAAACCCATGGTTCGAGTCTACTCATTCTTTTGTATTAAGGTATGTACACTTCCACTTCTATATCAACGAAGCTTCCATTAATTAATAGCGTCGCATGTGCACTACACATGATCAACTTCATTTTTCAGTTTTCACCTCTCTGCACGTTTAACAAAATTTTATCGGTAAAAATTTATAAATAGTTTATAAATTATAATTAAATTGTATATTGAAAAAACTTGAAACTATAATCCCCACAATCAAAATAACGA